AGTTCCTTGTCCATGTGGAACTTGGTGCGTCCAGCTGGTTCCAGCAGCAGAGTAGTCGTCAGTGTGCGTCTTCTCTGACTGGGTTCTGAGGATCCTGCATCCATTCCCCACCTCTCCCCGATTACCTGCTCCACCAGCCACACGCCAACTACAGACTTCTTCCACCTGTGCAGAGGACGTGACCGTGGACCTGGCACCATCTGCTGTTACTTGCCGTGAAGATGACCGTTTTGAGAGGGCGGTGGTTGCTCTTCACATTTTAGGACGGGAAGGAGATGATCCCTTGGGGTGCGCAGATACGTCTGCAGAAGGCATGAGTGTGGAAGGAGAGGGGCCCAAGTACATGAGTTTGGTGCCTTCTGGCGGCCTGGGGCTTGTGTGAACCACCCCTTAGGCGTTCTTCAAATGCTTTAAAACATTTTTGTGTGTTGAATTCTTGTGATAAACTTGTGGAATAGGCAGGACACAGGTTCTTTGGTTGATCGTTCCTTCTTTTTTTGTTTTGTTTTATCGAGACAGAGTCTCACTTTGTTGCCCAGGCTAGAGTGAGTGCCGTGGCGTCAGCCTAGCTCACAGCAACCTCAAACTCCTGGGCTCAAGCGATCCTCCTGCCTCAGCCTCCCGAATAGCTGGGACTACAGGCATGCGCCACCATGCCCAGCTAATTTTTTCTTTATCATGCCCGGCTAAATTTTTCTTTATATGTTAGTTGGCCAATTAATTTCTTTCTATTAATAGTAGAGATGGGATCTCGCTCTTGCTCAGGCTGGTTTTGAACTCCTGACCTTGAGCAATCCGCCTGCCTCGGCCTCCCAGAGTGCTAGGATTACAGGTGTGAGCCACCGTGCCCAGCCAATCGTTTCTCCTTGGCATCAGCCAGCTGGTGCCTGAATCCTTGTCTGCATCTAGCCTCTTTCCTGAGTGGCAGGTCCTGTTACCCTGAGTCTGGCACCAGAAAGTGCCATTGGAGGAGTGGTCCCCAAGGCCCACCCAAGACATGAGACTACATGGCCAGGCCTTGAAGAAGTGACTGCATGTGTCTCTGTCCCCCACCATCCCTCGGGGATCCAGGCTGTGCCATCAGCTTGCTTTGCTGCCCTACTCTGAGCCTCAGTCCCCTCATCTGTAAAATGAAAGGGGTTGAAATAGCTGATCTTCGCGGTGCCATTGCCTTCCCTGGGGAAGAGGAAAACTAAAGAATCCAGTGACCACCTAAGGACACCTCACCGCATTCCCAGCTCCAGTCTGACCTGGACCCCACCCAGCCTCACTGCACACGACCTTAATAAATAAACAGCTCATGGGACCTGATGGGTGAGGTCCTCGTGCAGGTAATTGAAACTGAGATTCAGAAAGATGAAGCGAGTTTGTCAGGACAAGCATAAAGCAGGGAAGCAAACTCCAGTTTCACTCACTGTAGCCTGTTCTCTTTGCCATTTATGGCGTTGTTCTGCCACGCGGGGCCACATATGGTCCCCGGCTGTGAGCTGCTTCCGTGGAAGGACTGAGGTGTGTAGAGGCAGGGGAGGTCCCAAATGCTGAGGCCTGACTCCAGGCACTTTGCAAGATGGGAACGTTTAGTCTCTAAAGCTTTACGTGGCCAAGGTGAGGGGCTGAGCTCAGACTGGAGGGAACAATGTGAGGCAAGGCAGTTCTTGGGCCAGGAGGACTTCAGAGGGAGGAAAGGGGAGTGAGGAAACAGAGGGTCCTGAGGAGTGGGGGCCCCCTAGCTAAGGACTAGGGGTGGGGGTGGGACAGTGGGCTGCGTGGGCAGCTTGTGGGCACTTGCCAGGGACCTGGAATGGATGGGCTGGGCCGGGCCTGCCGGCTCGGAAGGATGTGCAGGCTCTGGAACCTGCTGTCCTCCAAGTGTGCTGACCAGTGTGTTGAGCTCATGCACGCACCCCCAACCCCGGCTTGCCAGTTTCCCCTTTTTCTGCCCTCATCACTGAGTAGACGCGTTGACAGTCCTTAACCTGCCCATGGGCCTAACGCGCCTGTCCAGGTGCCACTGTCTCCGTCCTCATAGACAGCAGAGTCGGGTGTCTGGTTCTCACCTGACTTTCTTCCTTGGTGAGCTGAGCTGCATGCCCTCGACAAGTTACTGAGCCTTTTTGGGCCTCAGTTTCCCTGTCTACACAAGGTGATGGGCAGGAGGGGCATCATCTGCTAGAGGTTAAGAACCACGGAGAATATTCAGGTCAGACTTGCTGTGACTTAGCCTCCCAGACTCCCCGCAGACAGGGACCCACCACCTAGTCCATAACTGCCTTGACCTCCGCTTGTTCCCTGAGAGGGAGCCAGGGACAGGGTGGGAGCCATAGTATACCTTTTGGACACTTCAGAACCTCAAACATGGAAATCTGAGAAAAAGTGTCATCAGGCAGGGCTTGTAAGGGAGGCTGGAAGTAAGAATCTGAGCTGGGGCTAAGGAATGATCCCCTCTCCTCATCCCTGTCCCCACCCCAGCAGGAAACTGTGCTGAGAACTTGCTGTTGAAGGGGGCCTCTGGGGAGGTCTGGCCAGAAAGGAACCTTTTGAGGAAGGGTTTAAAATTAGCCCTGGTGAAATGTGTGGCCCCTGGGGAGAACTGAAGCAGAGGTTTCTGTGGGGCTGCGTCTCTGACCCGCACCAGGTCCTGCCATCTGGGGAGGAGGGAGAAGGAGGAGGAGCTGATCTAGGCCCACCCAGCAGGGCCCTGGCAGCTCCTGCTTTTCGAGCCCATCCTCTGGGGTGTGGTGCGGGGTAGACCCGGAGCTACCCTGAGGGCTGGGTGCGCAGGTCCTGCCGTGCTTCCCAGGCACCCAAAAGCAGGTGTCACCTCTGCCAGGCTGGATGTGTAGGAGGGAGGCCTGGGTTTTGAGTCCCATGTCTGCTGCCTTTAAAGAGCAAGCCTGTGACCTTGGGCAAGTCACTTCTGTTTGGGGATTTACTTGTACAGTTCAGGGCCCTTATGTGAAAGGGCAGAGGGTGGGGCTGTTGGGTTCTAGAGTCCAGGAGCTCGGTTTAGCCCACCCTGGAGCCTTAGCTGTCTGGTTCTCCCAGGTGCTGCCAGGGACTGGGCACGACTTGGGTATTGGGGGCACAGGGCTGCCAAGGGCTGTGAAATGTGAAGAGCCGTCCCCCCAGGCCTGGGAGCAGACACTGGTAAATGTTGTCTGGTGAGGGGAAGGGCTTGACCGAAGCGGGGAGGTGTCCTCAGTGGCCAGAGATTCTGCTGGGTGTGCTTGGCAAAAACTACATGAGGGAAGAAGAGGGAGTTGTTCTTGTGTGGGTGGCGGCGGTGACGCTGGTAACCTGCAGCTATCTTGGCTGGTTTCCTTTGACAAATTCTTGGCTCTCTTGAGATGCACATGTGTGTTGCGTGTAATTTTGCCTGACACCTCCCCAGATTCCTCATACAAGCCATCGTCTCAAAAAGGCTGTTTTGCCTGGGTTCGACGGGCTGTCGTTAGAACGTGGAGCAAGTTCTTTAGTACCCCCGGAGAAGGATGCGACCTGCTGTGGGCAACTAAATGCTTTCAGGAGTGGCCATGTGGTGGGGTGAGGCTCGTGACCTTTTTCTTAACTCTGCTGTGGGGAGAGGAGACCTGTGCTCGGCTCATCAGTATGAGATGTGGCCCCAAAAAGGAGTCTAGTGTGCAGGGAAGTTCTGCTTGTTCAGAGTTTTCATTATTCAGGAAGCCATGGTTTCAAGATGCGTTTTTAATGGATATAAACTACGGAAAAATCTCCCCTCCCCATCATGATTATTGGCTGATCCAGGCTGGCATCGGGTCTCAGCAGCCAATAAATTAGGTAAGTGGTTCTGCCAGCCCCTCTCCCGGACCTCACCTGCAGTTCAGGAGGTCGGGTTTGGCAGGAGTCACAGGATAGACACCCGGTGTTTGGACTTGGCTTTGCCACCACCTTGCACCCATGTCGAGGGCAAGGCTCAAAACTCACAGCAGCATCTGCCTCTCGAGAAGCTGGCAAGATCGTACTCCTCCTTCAAAACCCAGCAGAAGGCCGGGCGCAGTGGCTCACGCCTGTAATCTGGGAAGCCGAGGCAGGAGGATTGCTCGAGATCAGGAGTTCGAAACCAGCCTGAGCAAGAGCGAGACCCCGTCTCTACTATAAATAGAAACAAAATTAATTGGCCAATTAATATATATATAGAAAAAATTAGCCGGGCATGGTGGCGCATGCCTGTAGTCCCAGCTACTCGGGAGGCTGAGGCAGCAGGATCGCTTGAGCCCAGGAGTTTGAGGTTGCTGTGAGCTAGGCTGACGCCACGGCACTCACTCTAGCATGGGCAACAAAGCGAGACTCTGTCTCAAAAAAAAAAAAAAAAAAAAAGCCCAGCAGAAGTGTTCCATTCCTGACTCCTCACCCATTCCCTGTTCGGTGAATGTTTAGTGCCGTCACCATGCTAGAAGCTGTGCATACAGACAAGAATACAGCATGTCCTCTGCCATCGAAGGGCCTACGTGTAGTGTAGGAGGAGAGAGTTCTGGGCCCTCTGTGGAAATCCTGCCAGAGCATAGTATGGACAGCACTCGTGTTCCCTCTGTGTCCTTGCTTGTCCCCAAGACCAGACAGAGCTTCTCGACCAGGGGTCCATGGGTTGTATCTGAAAAAATGTACGTTTTTACATGTGCATTTTTTTATTTTTTAGGGAAAGGCACTGTAGCTTTCTTCAGATTCTCCGAGGGGTCCCTCATCTGAAAAAGCATCATGCTTGATCTGTACGCTCGTGAAACAGGGCGGGCTCTCTCGTCTTGCCTGTTTGCCTGCGTCTGTGCAGGAGACAGGTGCTTGCTCAGTGACACCTCCAGGGTGAACCTAGAGGAAGGGAGGCACACAGGGCTTTTGGAAAGTTCAGTGCTGTGAAGCTGCTGTTCATTTGCCTCAGTGTCTAAAGGAGGCCCAAGAAATACTGGATTCCTCCCTAAGCTCTGAAAGAAGAGCCCCGTCCTTCCGTCCAACTTGGCCCTGACCACTGTGGTCTCTGTCCCCAGGTCCGGACGCTGTTTGTCAGCGGCCTCCCTGTGGACATTAAACCCAGAGAACTCTACCTGCTCTTCCGGCCATTCAAGGTGAGTCAGGACCTGGCTGTCCACGGGGCAGAGCCTAGGGCTGGAGAGAAGCAACAGGGGTGAATCTCTGACCCGTACGGGGGTGGCGGGAAGATGCGGGAAAGTGAATCAGAAACCGCGCGCACGGGCCTGGCTCTCTGTCCTGGTTGTGCTGATTCACGTGCTGCCTCTGCCACCCGCTTAGCCCTCCCGGGCCTGTTTCCTCGTCTGTAAAGACAGTAAAGGCTCTTTAAATAGACGTGGCCATATAAGGACTCTTTGAGATTCAGTGTAGCCTTTTCAGTTTGCAGATGAGAAAACTTGTAAGGTCTGTGCTCCGAGATTACAAGTTAGTGGAGCAAACGGGAGTTTACGCATGAAATGATGAGTGCTGCCGCGTGACGGCCAGCCCGCGTGCTAGGCCATGTGGCTGAGAACATGGGGCGCTGGCGGTCAGGGTGGGCTGACTCTGGGGGGAGGAGGGTGAGAATGATTCAGGGGAGCACTGAGCAAAGGTAGGGCTGGTGGGGGCAGTGCTGCGCTAGCACAGCAAAGGCGTCTGACCTTCCCGTAACAGCCACCTCTCTCCACAGGGGTATGAAGGGTCTCTGATCAAGCTCACTGCAAGACAGGTAATTGTCCCTGGTTTTTCTTCCTCCCAGCCCGGACTGACTGCTGAGCTTGGAACTGCGGCCTGTTAACTCTTCCCTAATCTTGAGGCATCTGGCAGCAGAGACTGCCTCCCTGCTATCCTGGGCTGAGGAACGGGTGGCCTGGCCTCTGCAGGGCCCACTGCCTCTCTACCAACCGTCCAAGCCCAGGCAGCCCCTCGTCCTCACCGTCTGGCCCGTAGGAATCTGGGAGCCACCGCCTGGCCCTGTGGCTGGGAACGGTAGCGATGGTAGCTGAGCTCTGCCTCCTGAAGGAAGCCAGGGCCCTCTGGGGTCTAAGCTGATCCTTGGCAAAATGAAGTCGGAGAAGTTTTCAGCCTGCTGCTCTTTGATTGAACCCAGAGCCTTCCTGTGCCCTTGATACATGGGTGTCCCCTTTGTTGCCAGGGAAAACACTGGAACTTAATTCTTAATTATCTACATACATTTAAAAAGACTTTTACTGAAAAGGCGATGTTTAATTCAGTGGACGAAGGCTCTGTTGGCATCACTTCCCACAGTGTGTTACCAGGAGGGAGACTCCACTCGGTGCATGTCAACCTGCTGCTCCGGCTGAATGAGGGAGGGTGCGGGCGAGGGTTTTTGTTGTTGTTTTTGCTTTTTCATTCTCTGTTCTCGTCAGCAGAACAAATACTATTTGCACTTAGGTGATGCTCCTTTTGGTTTGTTTTGGAGGGAGAGATGGAATCTGGGAGAGATGCAAGGGTGTTCTCTCTTTTTCCTACTAGCCTGTTGGTTTTGTGATCTTTGACAGCCGGGCAGGAGCAGAAGTGGCCAAGAATGCGTTGAATGTGAGTAGGCGGAGAACGATCTCCCTCTGACCCACAGACCTTAGGCAATGGGCGTCCAGATGGACCTTATTCCCCAGCCGTCCCCGGGCAGAGTCCCCGGCTGCACCGTCTGTGCCAAATGCCGTTACTCACATGCCCCGAGCAGTGTTCCTGCTACTGCTGGGGCAGGTCTTTCAGGCAAGCTTGTTTCTGGGGCCCTTCTATGCCCACTGCAGTCTGGGTCCCACAGGGTAAGGCTTTCTCTGTCTTTCCTTCCTGTGTAGGGTATTCGCTTCGATCCTGAGAACCCACAGACCCTGAGGCTAGAGTTTGCCAAAGCCAACACCAAAATGGCCAAGAGCAAGCTAATGGCAACACCAAATCCCAGCAATGTGCACCCTGCCCTAGGAGCACACTTCATCGCACGGGACCCCTGTGAGTAGCACTCGGAGCCGCCTTCTCCTGCCCTTTGACTTGGCCCAGGCCGGCCGGCCCTAGTGTAGTTTTGCACAGAGCAGACAGGTTCTTCTTGAGGGGCTCAGTCCTGCACATCTGCCCCTTTTCTTGCTGCTGCATCCACAGCTGCCCATCTCAGACTTGAGGCTTCCTTCCTCCCCATGGCCTTTCCCGAGCTCCTGAGCTATCGGGCTGCTCAGCCTTCCTGAAGGCTTCTCTGATTTCTCTCGGTGAGATGGGCTGATGCTCACCGGAGAGCTTCTTGAAGCAGACAGGATGCTCACCATGCCAGACCAAGTTCATACCACACTTCCTTCCTTGGTTTCAGGGTCTTGGGGTGGGGGTGGCGGTTCTTGGCTCGGTGGGCACTTAGGGCTCAACTGTAGTGCTGGGCTTCTCTGTTTGGAAGAGGAGACCAGTGTTCTGACGACAGAGGCCATTGTCTCCCACTACAGATGACCTGATGGGGGCTGCTCTGATCCCTGCATCCCCAGAGGCCTGGGCCCCCTACCCTCTGTACACCACGGAGCTGACCCCAGCCATCTCCCATGCTGCATTCACCTACCCAGCTGCCACTGCCGCCGCCGCTGCCCTCCATGCTCAGGTGAGCGCCTTTGGCGGGGAAGAACGAGGGCTTCAAGCCAGCCGGACTTTTACCTGCCTGGCAAGTGGGCCATTGCTGTCCCAGAGCTGCCACAGAATGTTGTCTTTCTGGTGGTTTGAAAGCTGAGGTCCCAGGGACCTGATGGGGGAGGGAGCAGAGGAGAGCCACAAGGCCCCTTGGAGGCAGAATGCAGCGAGTGCAGGGACAGACCAGCCCTGGTTGGGCTGCCCCTGAGCACCATGATTCATGTCCCAACCTGCGTATGGTCTCCAGAGCCAGACCACTTGCCTCCGCCTCTTTCTGTCTTCATGACTTCAAACTTTTTAAGATTTCTGCATCTTGATTCTTACTTATCTGGAAAACGGGAAGAAAATGTAGGCCGGGCGTGGTGGCTCACGCCTGTAATCCTAGCACTCTGGGAGGCCAAGGCTGGTGGATTGCTGGAGGTCAGGAGTTCGAAACCAGCCTGAGCAAGAGTGAGACCCCCGTCTCTACCATAAATAGAAAGAAATTAATTAGCCAACTAATATATATAGAAAAAATTAGCCAGGCATGGTGGCGCATGCCTGTAGTCCCAGCTACTCGGGAGGCTGAGGCAGGAGGATCGCTTGAGCCCAGGAGTTTGAGGTTGCTGTGAGCTAGGCTAACACCAGGGCATTCACTGTAGCCTGGGCAACAAAGTGAGACTCTGTCTCCCCCCAAAAAAAATAAATAAAATAAAGGAAGAAAATGTAATCTGCTTTAGGGTCATGGTGAGAATGAGATGTTCAGACCTGTGAGGTGCTGTGTGAGTGCTGGAACTGTACCTGGAACGTGCGGAGGGCTCCTTGGGTATCTGCTGTAGTTTCCATGCAGGCTGGATGCTGGCCACTGTGAGCCTGTTCTGGGGCAGGAAGAGAGGGAGGGTGAGAGCTGGGCCAGGAGGGCTCTGGGCCCCATGCCAGGCCAGGTGCTTGAGGGGCAGGCAGGTCAGAGCCCGACCCCTGGCCACACCGGTGTTTCCTCTGATCTGACTCTGCCAGGAACACAGGCCCCAGGTGCTCACTGTGGGTGGGGGGTGGGCAGATGCTTCACAGTGGTGATAACAGGACACTGCCCAGGAAGAGGCCAGGCAGCCACAGGAGCAGGGCTGAGGGGCAGCCTCGAGCCCACCTCAGCCTCTGATCAGCCGAGTGGCTGAGAGCTGAGCCTGGGGCCCAGCGGCCCAGCCAGGGAGTGCTGTTCTGTGAGAGGGAGGGAGCTGAGGTTGTTGTGACCTGGCCTGGCCTGGCCAGTGGGAGGGGCCCCGGGAGGGAAGGGAGCATTCACAGGATGCAGAAGCTGGAGATGGGAGGAGGCTGGCTCCCTGCCTGCAGCCCAGTGCACATCCATGTTCAGGCCTGACTAGGGACTTAGAGACATCTGGGTTCACCTAGTTCCAAGGTGAGACGTTCAAATCCAGAGGCAACTCCCTTAGCAAAGCATTTTCCCCATCAGGGGAACCCTCCCTGGCCACAGCAATGTTCAGTTGTACCGAAGTGCTTTTCCCCAACTGAACACCACAGATGAGCCGGAAGACTGACAGGTGGTAAAGATCTTCCCCTGGAGGGTACTTACTGCAAACAGTTCTGTGGCTGGAACAGAGCAGGGAACGGGAGCCTGTCCATCTTGGACCTGAGCAGTTACTCTGGGCCACATGGGGTGGGTCTAACTGCAGGGGCCCCCTGAGGCACCTGGTGGGATCACAGGTTCCTCTCTCCCCTCCCTCACCTCTGATCCTAGCTTAGCCACAGTCAGCTACAAGATCTTCCCCTCTGGGCCCGGCTCTAACCTCCATGTGGACGGCTGGGCCCTCCTGGTATCTTCCTTCCCAGTTTTCTCCCACCCTATCCAGGTCTGCAGCTATGCAAGTCCTGGTTCTGTGTTGCACACACCTGTATGACCTTGGGCAAGTTACTTAATCTCTCTGTGTCTTTGTAAAATGGTGACAATAGTACCTACCCCTGGGGCTGTTGTTAGCCTGGTAGCCAGAGAAAGTGCTATAGAAGTGCAGATGATCATGATTGTTATTTAATGCCATTATTGTCTGGGTTCCCCAGAGTCCTCTCTGAGGCTGCAGTTCTCCTAGTGCCTGAGTTCCTGCCTTGTGGCCTTGCCCCGGGACTGAACTGGAGTGGAGGCCACTCCAAAGGACAGTGGCGAGTTATTGGGTGGGGTGGGGGGTGGGGAGGCAGACTAATGGCAATAGATTAGACCAGGCTAGGCTATCATAAGTTCTGTGCTGGCTACTCAAACTATCTCGACATCCGTTTTCTGAACAAGTGAAATGAGCTGTTGGGGCCAAATGCGGTAATATGCATGAGAGCATTTTCCAAGGAATAACACCTTCTCTTTTCCTTCCAAGAGTCCCTTCCTGACTCCCAATAGTGCTGTCCCAGAGATGGAGGCTTAAAGCATCTACATAAAGGAAGTAGACATTATTGATCCTAAATGGATTGTTCTGAACCCAGAGGACCAACAGAAAGACTGAGTTTTTCCCGTGCCTGGGGGCAAGGGTGAGGGGCTGAGAACCAGGACCTTTCTCTACCCCAAGGTGTGCACCTGGACTGCAGGCCTGAGCCCAGGTCTGGCTGCGGGGACCAACCCTGTAGTAAGAGACTTGGAGGTCATTCAGTCCCACTGCATCTTGGCACGAGGCCCTCCTGCTCAGCCCTCTTATCCTCTTGATAGAATCTCCCCCTTTCAGAGGGAGAGGCATGAAAGCAGGTGTAGATAACCCACAGGGATGGTGCCTGCAAGCAGGGATTCTGTCACTTCTTGCATCCCCAGTCCTCCCAGGCTGGATTTTGTTTCCATTTCATCCTGAGGAGATGGGCGTCTTTCCTGGCTCTTTTGCCCTCTAAGCTTGTTTAGCCCCTTGCTGGTGACCTGAAGCTTACATAAACTCCCTTGCCTTCTTTACTTATCTGCACAGTAGGGGTGAGAATAGCATCCACTTCATACAGTTTTTGTGAGGATTCGATGAACTTGATATATGAAAACTACTTAGACCGCATCTGGCATGTGGTAAGAACCTCATAGGCATTAGCTGTTGTGGGTCTGTATTTATGGGGAAAAAAGGCAGAGTTTTTTCCTTCTCCCTTTGGCTTATCATCCTACTCCCCAGAAAACCACTACTTTCAGTCCTTAGCTTTAGTGTATGTAGTCAGGAGTTGTGTGAATAAATCCATAGGTATGAATCTTTCACAAAAATTACTGTACCTGTTTAATCTTTTTAAAACTTGAATATTAGGACATATTTTTCATGTCCATAAGTACAGGTCTACACGATACCTGCCTGGCTAGTACACCATTGTCCACCTGTGGCCAGCTCCCTGTAGATGGTAAGTCAGGGTTGTTTATGCAGTTCTTTGCTGCTGATAGGCTACACTGCGATTGATGTCCTTGTCTTCACTTCTCTGGGCAGCTCTCCGTGTTTTGTTTTCCTTATGTTAAATTCCTAGAACTAATACAAGGTCAAAGTATAGACTTGCCAGTCTGGGTTAAGTATTGTTTTAATTGGCTTTCTGAGGAGTGAGGCTCTCAGATTTGTTGCTGTTCATATTTCTTCTCATGTAGATTTAGTCCTTTGGCTGCTTCTTAGTATACTTTCTCAGTTAGTCCTCAGATCTGAGTGAGGGCTAAGTTTGTGTCCTGCCCTCTTGGTTTTGAAGCAGTCCTCTTGGAGCCTGGTCATGGTAGCCTGTGGGAGGGCCCCTCAGGAGCCCCTGCTACCTGCTGTGGATAGCTGGAGGCCCTGAAAGGACACTGGCAGCTGCCCACCTGGGCCTGGAAGTCTCCTCTTCAGAGCTGGGCAGGAAGAAGAGATCCAGGAAGAGACATGCTCCTTCTAGAGCAGCAGTCCCCAGCCTTTTTGGCACCAGGGACCAGTTTCATGGAAGACAGTTTTTCCACGGGGGCGTGGGGTGGGCAGAGTTCTGCGGCTCAGTCCCTTAACAGGCCATAGGCCGGTACCAGGCCCCAGACTGGGGTTGGGAACTGCAGTTCTAGAGGACCCAGGCCTATGCCAGGCATCCGAGGGAAATGGAAAAGCAGCCCATCTAAGTGCGTCCTTCTGCGTCGGTGGTGTAGCTATCCTGAGCCCGTAAGTGGGAGCTTCCCTCCACTTTCTCCCCAAGGGGGCATCTGATTCATCTTGGGGGGGGGGTTGCTGCTTTGGAGACAGCAGCCACCACAGCACCTTGTGGAGAGAGGTGGGACAGGATCTAGCAGATTCGCTGAGGGAGGCCTTAAGCAGTCACCCAAGGCCTCGGCTTCCCCATTAGTAAAAGAGGGCAAGTGGGAGGCTGCCTGAGTCCCTCTCACTCTGTCATCTGAAGTTCTCCCTTCGTCCGGCCCTGCAGGACACCCAGCCAGTCGGCTGCGTCCTTGCCATGGGGCTGCCCCGCCGGAGGCTGGGTGAAGGGCACGGTCGGGGCTCCCTGAGCTGGACCAAGCCGCAGGCTTCTCTGGTAGCAGCGTTGCTGGTTTCCTCCGAGTCCCTCTTGCGGGATGAGTCCTAGGGTCCAGCCAGGCCTCCAGCTGAGAGGGCATCTCATGACTCGGCAAAGGGCAAGAGAAGTTTCCTCCCACGCAGCTGTCAGCCGGGAAGGGAAGGAACCACTTGCAGATGTTCAGGAGGCAGGATAGGAAATACGGCCTGTGAATTTGGACAGCTCAAAGGCTGGAGGAGGCTCCTGGCTCTTTCTGTGTGGAGTGGGGCTCAATTCAGGTGGTTCCTGGGGTCAGCTGTGCCCTGATGACAGCACTGCCACATCCTTGGAGCCCAGGGAAGACCCTAGTGTTGGCTGGGTGGCCTCGGACTGGTCCTGCCAGGTACCCAATATGCTGGCATCTTAGGATAGCCAGCCCTAACTTCCTGCCCGACTCCTGAGAGCATGTGGTAGCTGGAATTCTGTGCTGTATGAAACACCTAGAATTTGGAGGGGCATAGGAGCAAGTTCTTCAGAAGCCTCAGTCGGCCTCTAGACGGCCTGGCATTGTTTGATATCTTCTCTGTTTACCCAGGAGGCAGAAATTCCAGGCAGCCAAGTGGGTAACTGGGTCTGCCTGCTCCAGCCTCAGGGGAGCTGTCCGCATGCCCAGCTTCTGCTCGCTTCCACAGCACTCTCGAGTGCTGTCCCCCCTTCCTAAGGAGACTGAGGGCCCGGCTCTCTGGCTGCTCACTCCTCATGTCCTGTGGTGCCCTGCCAGGTGGCCGGGGGTCAGGCCGGGGCAGACATGCTCCACCACGTGCAGTGGGCAGGCGGCCGTCCCTGCGGTCTTGGCAGCCAGCGTGGCTTGCCTTGCAGGCGACTGGCCCATAGCAGGGAGGGTGCATGTCGTTTTCTTGGCCAGTCTCTGGGAATCCAGCTCTGGGGCCACTGCTCTATGGGGCCTTCTGGCAAGTGTACCAGGGTTTTGGTGGCTGCCAGGCACTGCTGAGGATGATCCAAAGCTGCTACCCACCTACCTGAGGGCTCAGCTGGTAGGTTCCAAACCTCCAGACCTAAGAGGCTTGTAATGGGGGAATGGGAGGGATGGAAGGATCCACACGGGGAGGCATTCAGCTGTGTGTCCTCCATGGCTTCCCCGAAGAATCCTGCAGAGACCCAGGACCACCACGGTCTGGGAGACCACACTGACCTGGGTTTTTAGTGTCTTTACATCCTGCTTCTCACAGCCACCCTTGACTTAATCATCTATCTGATGCTGAGACACAGAGAAGTCGAGCAAAAGTTTATTAGGTTCATTTTCCTACTGATGTTAGGAATTCCGTGCTCTCCCAGTGAGGGGCAGGTTGCCAGCATCAGTGCCCCCGGCTGCAAGGCCCCCCTGGCATAGCGTGGCCCACCTGGATTGGGCTTCCTGGAGAAGAGGATGTCCTCATAGCCTCTCCCCTGCGCCTCTGTCCTCGGAGGAGGGAGATCAGGTGGTGCTTTCCCGTTCTTAGGATGAAGAAACTGGTGCCTAGAGGTGAGTAACTGGCCCAATGTCTGCCAGCCAGTCAGTGACAGAACCAGGACTCGAGCAGGGACACGGAAGGCCGTGTTTTCCAGGCTCCCCGTTGAGGGAAGGGGCGGCACAGCTGGCTCCTGACATTGGCTTCTCTTGCAGGTGCGCTGGTACCCTTCCTCTGATACCACCCAGCAAGGATGGAAGTATCGTCAGTTCTGTTAGTTCTTCAGTAAGTGTCGGCCCTGGAGGCCCAGCTCGAACACTGTGCTGGACTCTGACCTCCTGCAGGGCCGCGGTTCCTCCCCGGCCTGAGTCCTGGGCACTCTCGAGGCCGAGCCCAGAGCTTGTTCCCTGATGGGTCCGCCTGGTTTTGCCTGTTTTTTCCCCTTCTCCTCCTGCCCTGTGACCGCCTGCCACCCACCTGTGCAGCCTCTCCCCGAGGGAAGGCCTGGGGTCAGTCCAGTCCTACACCTCTGCTCATGGCCACCTCTCTCCCCTCCGTCCAGGTCTTGTCACCGGGGAGTTGGTTCTGAAATCTGTATGGTGGTGCCTGAATCGGCACCCTGAGCTTCCACTGCCCCCAGGTGGCCTGTGCAGAGCTGCCACCCTCCAGAGACTGTGAATCTGAAGCCTGACTCAGTGGACTGCTTCCTATTTCCCTTCCCTCCTCCTCCTCAGCCCTGTTCTGCACCCCAATGCCTTTCCCCAAGGCTTCCCAGGAGGATTTGGGGACCTTCCTGCTGGGGCACCCAGATCCAGCCTGGAGCAGCCTCACTGGGACCCACGAGGTCTGACCTCCCGCCCAGACTTGCTTCTGTAGCTCCACCTCCACCAAGGAAACAAGGCGTTTAATTTTGCATGTTTTCTGGCATGAATTAAGACACTTAAACTTGTGTATATGTGAGTGTACAGTTTGTCCTCCCACTGTGTCACCATAGCAACAGGTCCTGGCCATCAGTGGTTTGTCATGCCTGGTCCCTCTCCACCCGCCCCGCACCACCGCTTCAGGGGGGCCCGAGCCCTGTAGCTGGTCCTGGCCCCTGGGGCCTGGTGCCCCCGCCACCCCCACACACTTCAGGCTCCACCACCACCCAGCAAAGGCGTAGTTCTCTCGTTTCAAATCCGGGTCCTCCACTTTCCTCCTCAGATGGGCCAATGATCCTAAGAAAACCCTTTCTCTGCCCACCTCGCTTCCCTCTCCGTCGAGTACCCCGCCCACCTTGCTCCTCGTTCTTTCCAAACCTCGAAACCAACCAAAATGGTGAAGAGTATTTTTGTACCCTGTGTAACAAAATATTTATGCATCATAAAGGATTTTTCATGTGTGTACCATTAATTATTAAAGAGACCTTGTTCGCCCTGTCAGATGAGTTTAATGTTTAGTTTGAGGCATGAAGAAGAAAAGGGTTTCCATTCTTCAGCAAAAGGCTTTGTGTCAGGCGTTAGGTTGAGAGAAATGAAATGAAGGAAAAACTGTGCAATTTTGTTTTGTTTTGTGAGCATATCAGTGCTTTACCTTTAGCTGCAGCTGTGACTGTCTTGCCATTTCAGACTTGGGAGACTAGCTGGCTGTTGCAATTGCTGATCCTGTGAGAATGTGAAACTGGATAATATATGAAATGCAAAATAAAAAAAGTCAAAATGACTGCGCTCAGACCTTTGCTTCCACCTTCCATGGGACGCAGACTGCCACTCCCCGGGCAGACCAGAGGGTGAGAGCTGCAGGGAAGGAAGCAAGGTGGGCCCGGGCCCAGCGTGCGTGGGGAGGGCACATCCGCACTCAGCCTCTCCCTCCTCCCTCTTCGTGTAGTTTAGAAGAAAAAGTTCTAGAGGGGAAGTGACTTGCCCAAGGATCCTACAGCTGGTGCGTGCCTGTGTCTGTCAGCCCCCTCGGCTTCATTCCTTCACTCCCTCATCTCAGCAGTTCTGAGGGCAGGGACTGACATTCCCTCTCTGGGGTGCTGCTGTCTACTTGGCTTAACCCTTCACGGCCTGTGGTCTTCTTAGGGCCTCTAGTAGCAGAGGACTCGGGTTTGGAATGTTGAGGTCCTCTGGCTGGGTTTGGCCTTGGCGTGCATCTCGTGAGGCTGTGCTGGAGGGAAGGATCGGACCCGGGGCTCTTGCCCAGAAAGAGTTAACTGATCCACGCTGCAGGCTCTGCACTACAACTGACACTGCAGCTGATCGCTGGGGGCAGGAGCAAAGAGGTGTGAAGGTCAGAGAATCCGCTCAATGCCAGGAGCAGAGGCTGGCCTGGGCAGGTGTCAGGGTGCCTGCAGCAGCCCTGACTCTTCCCTTTCGTGACTTGGGGTCTCAGTTTCCCCACCTGTGAAGTGGTGGCCGAAATCCTTTCCAGTTCTTACTGGAGGGCTGGCCTGCTGCCCTAATGGTCTCACTGCTGGCGTTTTCCACCCAGTCCTGGGAGAGCTGCCCTGTGTCCCGCTGCCAGCCCGTGCCCAAAGCCCTGCCTAGAAAGGGAGGGCAGTGGAGGCCCCAGCGCCTGCTCCACCCCTGTCCCCCAGGTTTCCCTCCAGCCCTGCTTGGAGCAAAGCTGAAGTAGCTACATCTGGTCACATCCTCGCCTCCACCTTGGGTGACCACTCCCTGCTTCACCTCTTCTGAATCCCAGCCCTGCACTGGGCGACCTGAGCCTGAGGTGTCACCCTTGATGAGTGTGGCAGCTGTCAGAGGCTCGGGTGACGCGTGCAACCCAGGTGCTGCGAGGGCGGAGGAGGAGCCTGGCCAGGCATGGGCCCTGTAGGTGACTGGGTGGCAGCGGGGCGGGTTACCTGGGCCTCAGCAGAGGCACTGGGAGCAGGGGAGTTGGTGGCCGTGTTGTGCCAGGAAGAGGAGGGGGGCTGACGCCTTTCCTGCGTGTACCCCTCCCCTCACTGCAGTGTTGGGACCAGCTGCCACTTGCCAAGCGAGCGAGGCCGCCCCCGCCCAGGCCCGAGCACATGCCTGACCTACTTCAGCTGTGTCAGGAGCCACTGGGTCTTCCTGAGGTGGTGAATTATTTAGCTGGGGCGCCTGGGCCGTTCTGAGAGGGGCTAAGAAAAGCTGCTCCATAATTTAAAGGCCCCTGTGCCTGTGGCTTCCCTGGGGGGCCGCCTCCTCTCGCTTTGGTGAGCAGGGCCCACGCCTGCGCCTGAGAGGGGGGAGGCGGGGAGGGGAGGGGCCTCTGCAGAAAGGCCTTAGTGGATGGTCACGTTTGGACTGAACTTGAGTTGACAGTAGTTACAGGGCTTCCTGGTGGGGGCACAGAATGGCTGGGGTCCGCAGTGGCTGTATCCTGACTCCCTGTCCCATGCTCTTCCCAGAAAGCACCTTACTCCTTCCCAGAGGTTTAATCCAGTCTCTGACTGCAGGTGAAAGGCTTCTTTCCTTTCTGAGAGGGATTCGGGCATCTGGGAGTAGCCAGGGTTCTTTGTTCGGGGGTCTCTTTCCTGCAGCACTAGAGAGGCCATTTTTACATGTCCCCTCCCCACACCAGTGAGGCCTGTGCTCCACAGAAGCTGGGAGGCACTGGGAGCTCCGCGGCCCCCTGCCCTGGCCAGGAGCCGACACTCCTTGCAACAGAGAGGGTGCTTGCACCCGACGGACAGGCTATTCCTGGGCGCTGCTGCCTGGCCAGCGTTTTTCAGGGCTGTGACTCATCTTGGGGCCTTCACAGGAGAGCAGGCTCCCAGGTTCCAGGCTGCGTGGCCCGACGTGCAATGTCTATGGGAATAAGCGGGTAAAGGTGCAGGCTGCACAGGACCCAAGGGTCTCAGGAGGGGCCAGGACTCACTCATTCCCCACCCCCACCCTCCTGCATGTGCCCTGCAGAGAGACCTCCATTTCCTGAGGCCTTGAACAAGGCCTTTTTAATCATAAGGAGTTCTCTATCAGAGCGCTAATATCCCTGAGAAACCGGACCAAGCCCCTCCAGTAGCATTAGGGAAAGTGCCAGAAGGCAACCATGAAAGGGAAAGGTGGAAAATGGGGAAGTCCTGGCTGGGCGCAGTGGCTCTCATCTATAATCCTAGCACTCTGGAAGGCCAAGGCAGGAGAACTTCCTGAGATCAGGAGTTTGAGACCAGCCTGAGCAAGAGCAAGACCCTGTCTCTACTAAAAATAGAAAAATCAGCTGGGCATGGTGGCAGACACCTGTAGTCCCAGCTACTTGGGAGGCTGAGGCAGGAGGATGGCTTGAACCCAGGAGTTTGAGGTTGCTGTGAGCTATGATGATGCCACCGCACTCTAGCCTGGGTGACAGAGTAAGACTCTGTCTCAAAAAGAAATAAAGACGAACTTTCCTGTGGAGGTGTCAGAAGGAAGGAGCAAATCCCACTCCACCCTGCCGCAGGCCTGCCTCGCCTCCACGGCCCTCCAGGTGAGGCACTCCCCGATCTGTGCTCCTGTGCACAGAGGAGGAGCTGTGGAAACTGGGGACCACCCTGGTGAGGGGAGAGACAGGCTGGGCACATCACTGCCCTGGTCGTGTTGGGCACATCACTGCCCAGGCATCGTTCCAGGCCTGACCAGAAAGGGGTATGAGCTCCCCTGGCCTGCTCGACCGCCACCCAACCTTCCCACACCCTCCAGGCAGTGTAGACGGCATCCATCCATGGGCTCCCTCGCCCTCTGGCCGAGACCAGTGAGTGGAAACCCTGCAGGAGTTTGAAGGGACGTCAGTGAGTGAAGACAGGTGCCCTTAGCCATTGTCTTCTCCGCTTTTGAGCAAACATCTCAGCCTGTTTTTCTGAGGGGCCCTTAGATGACCTGGGAAAACGAGACTCAAATGTTAGTTCTGAGAGTATTTAGTCCCTGCTCCCGTTTTCCAGATGAGGAAGTGGAAGCACAGAGAGGGTAAGTGGTTTGCTCTAAAGCGAGCACTTCATTGTCATGGAGACAGTGGCCAATGCATGCTGGACTATCGTCTGTCTCCTGGTCCAGTGCTCCACCCCCGCCCTACATGGCCATTTCGGAACCACACACGCAGGGAGGCTACAGACGTCGGATGCAACAGGCTTGGAAGACTCTCCCTGCAGTTCCAGAGGCTGGGAGCAGAGCTCGGGTCTGCTGACCGCAGTCCTCACCCCGGCGTGCCACGCACACTGCTTTCTGCCCAGGATATCTTGGTCTGAATGTGACCTGAGCCTTCCCTGGGAAAAAAAGTCCTGCTCCCCGATGAAAGGACAAAGAAATGCCCTCTGTGACCCACCTAGCTTCTGCCCGGCACTGTGCAGTCTCTCTGGCCTTTTTACCCAGTGGTTAGGGTTGCTGGGCCTTCAGGACCCATCTGGCCCTCAGCTTATGCAAGAACCAAGACAGTGTCTCTCTCTTTCTGCCTGTAGTAGAGAAAATGCAACGCAGTCTAGTAGGAGAAGTTTAAAAGGTAAGGCATGGCTGGCTATCTGAGATTCGGAATGGCTATCTCATTCTATTAAAGCCTATTGTTGCCAGGCGCGGTGGCTCACGCCTATAATCCTAGCACTCTGGGAGGCCGAGGCGGGTGGATTGCTCAAGGTCAGGAGTTCGAAACCACCCTGAGCAAGAGCGAGACCCCGTCTCTACTATAAATAGAAAGAAATCAATTGGCCAACTAATACATATGGAAAAAATTAGCCAGGCATGGTGGCGCATGCCTGTAGTCCCAGCTACTCGGGAGGCTGAGGCAGGAGGATTGCTTGAGCCCAGGAGTTTGAGGTTGCTGTGAGCTAGGCTGATGCCACGGCACTCACTCTAGCCTGGGCAACAAAGTGAGACTCTGTCTCAAAAAAAACAAAAGCCCATTGTTTTCCCTCTGAGTATCTATATATGTCCTTGTGACTCTGTGACCTTCCTTCACAAGGTTATTATGAGGGTTAATGATAAGACGAGAACATGCCTAGCACGTAAGTAGTACTCACTAAGTGTTTTCTATGGTTATCTTAAACAGAACACATTTTCATATTTCTCTTATCCTTAACAAGAAATGTAATTGAGTCGATTCTAGTTTTTGTACTCCTTGACCGTTTTTTCAGTGGATCAATAGTTATTGAAAGATTTTTAATCTCACGGTCTACCTAGAGGAGAGGTGGAAGGAGGACAGGGTGGGGCCTGGGAATCTCAGAGAACACTGACAAGTGCCCAGAGCTAGCTTTTGGCACCCGACCTGAGTAGCCTTTCAATCAGACCATTTTAGGATTACAGGGTTCTGAGAGAAGTAGTAGTAAGTAGTAGTATTTATATACTGCGTTAGAGTTTTCAAAACACATTCACATATGCTATTGATGATGGCCATTAAAGCCCAATGAGATAAGAAAAGTGTAATCATCTGCTTTTTACAGCGCCCCCGTGTGGGAGAAAAGTTTAAAAGGTCCCACAGAAAGCAGAAGACTCAATCCCCAGGTTTTCTGGTTCTCTGTGATTCTGGGCCTCAGGGTCCTACAAAGACCAGGGTTCCTCTAGCTCTGGGAAAAGCTCATGGGGATCAGAGAAGCCCAGTATAGGAAGGAGAAGAGCCAGCATACCTAGATCTCTGTTAGCCTGGCTAAGAAACAGGCTAAAAAGGCCAGCGCGGTGGTTCACACCTGTAATCTCAGCACCCTGGGAGGCAGAGGAGGAAGGATCGCTTGAAGCCAGGAGTTTGAGGCTGCAGCAGTGAGCTATGGTCGCACC